CTTCCCACATTAAACAGGGCTGCTGTGCTATTGTAAGGGCACTTAGAATAGCCCAGCTATAGGGCACTATGACAAGGCTGCTCACACATTGAAAGGTGAGTCCTTTCCCTGAGCACCGATAGCACTTCAGCTCTTTAGAGATGCAATGTTTTATCTCATTTCTGAGATTCCAAAAGAACTTTTTGGGGAAACAATGTGTTTGGGAAAGGGCAGGGGCAACCAGTGAAGACGATGTCCTATAAATCTGTGACTGCAAAAGTTGTAGGGATATAGTCATGGTCCCAAATATGTGGTAAGTAACATTTATGGTGAGCTGTCCAAAGGAAATACAAGTCAGCTACTATGGCTACTCTGGCTTAACAGTAGGTTGAAATTTCAAGGGCAAGTTAGACAGCTATGAAGCAAAATTGACTCAATCTATTTTTCACCACCAGTTGATGTTTATTTTGGTTTTATGCCTGTTAGCTCAGCAGAGATATCTCCTTTCATTGCCTTTGTTATTACAGCTCCCTGTGGTCATATCAGGATCTCAGGGGGAAATGGCTCGTGCCATGAGCTAGGCAAAGCCAGTAAAGCAGTGGTGATGGTCTCTGTGCTACTGAGTTGGGTATATCCAGTGGTTATACAGCTTCTGAGTGAGGATTACATCTGTTGACTTAGCTCTCAAGAAACTTTAAGCAAACTTGGTGCTCAGAAGCTTTTATTTAGGTTTTGGTTTTGCAGAAGTAATTTTTTCCAATACCCAAAGTGTATGTCATTGTGTGCATACAGCTCTATCTTGGAGAAGAAGAACCTGAATATATAAGAATGTAAAGATTTGAGAAAAACATATTAGATCACATTTAAGTTTCTGTTGATAGGTTCGTTGCATTAGAAGTTAATTCAAAAGTACCTGAAGCCTTTCAAACTTCTCTTTAGGGAATTATTCATGTGCATAATACTGAAACACAGAAAATACTTTAAAATGTATTTAGAACTAGGCTTTTCAGAAGACACTATAGGCAGTAGAGCTTTTCATTATGAATTTGACATAAGATATATAGTATTACAAATGAGAGGCTTTTCATGTTGCTTTTTCTACAGCTTTTTCTAGAAATAGATGCCCTATTCAGTCATATTTAATCATTCTTCTATCAAAGAATACTGTATAATTATATACTTATTGTACATTTAAATATATATTTAAATCTTTAATTAAATAGATTCAAAGAATATACTTAATTATTCTTCAAAGAAATGTGACCTATTTCACCTGGACTTTTAGTCAATTTAAACCAATGATGACAAAACTAGCAATTAGTAGGTAATATTTTTTCGTCATGACGCTGATGAAGATTCTAGTGGGCCACTTTGCTTCTCCAAAGTATTTGCCATCTCGTGAGCTCAACAAATATTTCTTCAGACAAAATAAAAGTAAGCTAATATGGGAAAGGTCAGAATGAAATAAATAGAAAAGGTAATTTTTCAAGTACTGTTGATTTTTTATTTTTATAACAATGTTTTAGTTCTCCATCACTATATGATGCTGAAGTAGAAATTACGGCGTTATTGTTCTTCAACGTAACACACAAGCACTGAGCTGTGGCTGGTTATAGCAGCTGATGTGTGTGATGAGCTGTGCCACAGCTAAAAATTTATACTACCCTTAAGCATTACAGGCACGAATAATGCCCATGTTTTCTGGGAGTGAGCTATGAGACCTGTGGGCAAGCTGTGAACCTTTGTAAAACAGGATCTCTGCAGGGAGCTCATCTGGCTGACATCAATCACCTGCCCTAAGAGAAAGAAACCCCAAGCAAGACAGCTTCTAAATGTCACAGCAGCTCCCTCAGATTTCTGAGGATAAAGCTGATGAGGGAATCACCTTTGTAAAGGGGCAGAATGAAAGACGTAACACTTTGGCATCAGTTTTTATTATGGCATTTAACAGCTGTGACAGCTGAAGTCTTCACAGGGTGTCCCAGACATATACCTTTTTCCATATAAAATGACAGCTTTAAGGAAATCCACAGCAAATCCATGCAAACAGAAGAGAGAATTACTTCCTTTGGGATTTAAACACAATTAAAGCCTACACAACCAAACAAAATGTTAAGAAATGTACCTTGACTTCCAGGTGAAGTTTCTTGCCTTCCAGTTCTTGCAATCTCCAGTTTGGTCCACACATCTGTTGTCAAGGACCTACAGCAAGTATTAGCGCCAAAAATGCAACCTGATTTCTTCAAATGCACCTCTGGCATGACATTTCAGTGAAATGTAGTTTTAGAGAAATATGTGTGATTATTCAGAAAGAAGTTATGGCAAGTGCTGAGTTTCTACCCAAAGTAAAAATACTTTGTTTTACAAATGCTAGTTTCATAAATTATAGTAGGACTTCAGAATACAAACAATGTTGAGGAGGATATATTTTATTCTTATGTTGAAGCAGGAAGGCAACCTCTTTTGAAGGCTGTATTACAACCTGCATCCTTTTAACTGAATTAATAGGTCTACCTGTACTATATAGTACTGGTGTTTTACGTTTCAAATTGCCAGAATTTATTTAGATTTTGGAACTTTCTATACTGTACAGTAATGTCTTCATCTAAATGTTTTATGTGCTCAGGAAGTAGCTTCTGTTTCTCTTAGCTCCCCAGAATTATAACAAATTGCTTCATTGCAGACTGTATATTTCTTACCAAATACTTTTGCTCTGTCAGAGCTCCAAACCAACTAAATGTAAGAAAGCACAGCTTTTTCTACATAACACTCTAGCCAGACCTGCCTCTACAAATCACAACCATGTGTCCACTACCATGGCCTGACTGTAAAACCAGCCTCTCTTTTTTCACTCAGTGTGCAGCAATTGTATCTCAGTACTCTGACTCACTCTTACGTGGTTACCAGGCAAACCAACAGTCTCTTGGTAAATGACTCTGAAACCATGTTAATAACATCCTATTTTAAAGTACTTTTTAGTGTCTCACCAGCTGATGAATAAAGAAAATCATATTGAAAACATTGTAAAAGTCATGAGAAATCTCTACTATATTATATTCCACGTACTTCATGTCAAAAAGTACCATTTATAGAAAATCTTTCCCCATAAAAACTATCATAACTATAGAAAGCTTTTCTCCAGTGTAATTTTATTAGGGATTCCTGCCATCATATCAACATACAAAACAATCAGGATGTTGACATATAGAAATGTGAAATTCACTGTACAAAGATAAGGCTCAAGTTACAGGTATATTTTCCCCTTACACTCCATGAAATAAAACCATTTTTAGTACTTCCCAGAGTTGTGTTTATAAATGTTGGACAAACCACAAAATAGATTTCAAGTACATAACATTTTACAATATAATCCAAGCACAGACAGAAATACACAATATTGTACCTATAGACGCTCCACAGTTCGCTCTCTTAATGTGCCCAGCCACATCCTTCTGTGTATGACATGGTCCTGACCTTTGAGTTATAACACTTTCATGACTTTTAGTTAAATTACTTTGATAGACCAGGGAATATCAGGAAGGAAAGGTGAGAATATTAAAAGGCCAGGTGTGAATGTATGCACGTGGTTAGTAAATGCAAGCACATGTGCACACACACTTGCATCTAACCCTGCACAAAACTCCACTGCACTGCTCAATTTTTGAGATTATGTTCTGATGCAACTGAGCTATTTTCTGACAAGAGTTAAATCAAGCATTACAATGCTCCTACTTCTGGGGTGCACAGGGACAAGTGTATCGTAACCAATTTTTTTTTTTTTAAGTGACTCTCAGACTTTCTAGGAAGTTGTATGGAACCATGTCTTCACAGTCCATCAGGATGTCTGCTCTCACAGCCTTCACCACTGAAAACACCTTTCTGACCCCTATATTTAGAAACAATGCAAATGAATAATTTCAAGTTAAGACCAAATGTCTGCATTAGTTCACTCTCCATTTCTATTAGGCTGAATGATTATTACCTTGTGGGAAAGGATCATTTAGCTGCAAGTAGCACAGGAAGAAATAGACATTAAATAACTAATCGTTAATGATTCTTCTGGGACACAGATTACAAAGGACAAACAAAGACAAGAAAAACACAGTTGTTTAATTTAGCCTTTGTTGCAGGGGAGATCAAGAGTAATCCAAAAGTTTTCAGCTGAGGAAAGGAACTCCTGAGCCCTGTAACTGTTCTGTCTTTTAAAAACTGGAGAAGATTAGAAGGGAAGGAAAAATCCTCTATGAAAATCACCATTTTAAAACTAGACACTTGCAAAGGCTTACAAGAGAAAACCAAGCAAAAGAGATTCCCTGATACTGAAACTAATGGAATTTATTTAGTAGGAATTAGACATGTGGTTGCAATGTGTAAAATGCACATCTAATAAAATAGCCTCAAATATATTTCTGATTCATAAATGTCTAAGCAGGAGAAAGAGTCTGAAGCCAAAATTCAAGTTCTTTGATTTAAATATGAAACAAGGCTGCACTAAGATTGTGGGAGAGGAGTGATAAAAACTTTCTTGTCTTAGATACAACCTCTGTGGTATATTTGAGGGCCTTCAAATGCTCTCAGCATTGACAAGATTTTACATAAGTATGTTCTCTAAGCTATATTGGAATACTTTTAGATATACAAATCCATGTTACACAAAACAGCATTAGATCTTGTAACTGGGCTCATAATAACAAGGAATGAGGGTGAGTATGGTGCTATATGTGAAAGGAAGTATATTACTATGCACAGAAAATATGTTGTCTTAGAGATTAGTCATAAAGGGCATCAAGCATGAAGATTCATCTCTTAAAGTGTTTAAGCCTTTAAGTGTGAGCCAGTAGATTATTTTGACATCAACTGTACAGCCTAATGCTTTGCTTTTTAAAAGAAGTATGAAAAATTTATTCCTTTTTCATCTTTTTATCTTCTTTATGATTTTAAAAAGTAGCTTGCTCACCTACTGATTTATTTTTGCGTCCTTTTTTTCTTTTTTTTCTTTTTTTTTTTTTTTTTTTGCTACTTACTATTATTGTCTTCCGTTATGTACAATAATCTACATTTAGACTGAAGACTCGATCTTTCTCTAAACATACTTGGACTATCTTGTAAAGACTTTCTACAGAACTGATAAAGTGGAAGACAACCTGACAGATAAGAAGAAGGATCATTTCAGTTCTGCCCACTTCCCCAAGCTTTAGAACTGTGCCTTTCAGAAATTCTTTTGCATACTTGCTGTCATTTCACCTCGCCCAGGCAGCCCCTACAGAACTTGAGTGAACTTTCTGTTTCCCAAACACAGTCCCTTTGTGTAGAGCTACATTAAATTCATTCTCCAGCCATAGTTTAAAAACAAATAATTGGTAAAACACTAAAAACACCCTGCATGCCCCTCTACATTATTCTTACCAATGTGTACATTTAAATAACACCATAAGTTGTCTTTTACTAAAAATTTACCAAAATATCTTAAACACATAAAAATATAAAAAACAAACAAACAGAAAAACAAACAAAAACCAAAAACCCAGCATAAACATTGCTTGTATAGGCATTGGTTAGAAGAGATTGTTTCACTAAGGAGTATATTCAAAAAGGTTTTCTTTCAATATCATCAGCTTTAGTGTCATGATTGAAAGGTTAAGGACAATGAAACTTATTGTGACCCTATCTTATATAATGTAATAAATGAGATAGAAGTCTGAAATGTAATTAAATAAAGCTTCTTTTTGGTTATTGAGAGGTGACTGTATAAGCTGGTAACTAAAGTGGCAATTTAAGTATGTAAAGGGAACTTAAGAACATGACAAGTCTGTAAAGAAAACACTAAATGAGGATATGAAGGCAGCTGCCAACAGATGGGCCCAGGGGCATTATGGAAAGCTGTCACTAACTGAAATTTTGAATATAGCCCTTAGTTGTACAATATTAATGTAAAATTTAAAAGCTGCCCAGAATGTCACGAATGAAGTTTATTTTGCAAGCCATCCACTGCCTAAGGGGGCAGTAATATTCAATATGAAACTGCTGAAACTCCGGCGTCTGGCGGATTTCGTGAAGGAAAGAGATTTGAAGGTCCGACTCCAAGAGAACAAGGAAAAGGGGGAACACAAACAACAATAGTCCAAGGCCTACAAGAAAAAGTCTGGAGAAACTCTTCACAAAAGCGTTCACCTCTATGTTGCCCATCAGAAAGTCATAGCTCCACCTCAGGGCTCTCCGAGCTTCTTTCAGTTCTTCCTCCTCTGCAATTAAAAATGCATTTTCATCTGCTTCAAGTTCCTCAAATGAATCGGTATCATCTTTCTCATTCTCTGCTCTTGGGCAGGTATCAAAGAGCATGTCAATCTCATCATCAACCGGTGTGGGCAGCAAGCTGGCACTTGGATTGTATACCAGCTCTGAGATGGTTAAGGGTTCCTCTTTCATCTTCTCTTCCTGTTCAATGGCAAGATCAACATCCTTCCCAGTATCCTTTACTGGAGAGCTTGAAGTCACAGGTACTGAAATCTCCTCTTCCTTTGGCAGCTGGATACCTGAAGAAATTAGATGAAAACAATAATACTAAATTTCTCACAGACTGGGGGCAAAAGTCAGCCTTCCAGGAGTATACAATAGATGTATGGAAAGAATATTCTGCAATAATTTTGCATATTAAAACCAGACTGTACATAATTATCAAAAACTGGAAAAGCTTTTTGAAGAGGACAGTATCTTTACAATGCTCCAGTACATCAGATCTGCTTAAGAGGGTCTGATGTAGCTACCAATGATAACAGTGTAGTCAAAGCAGAAAAGAGAGCACCTTATTTTCTACTGGCAATCTGATTTCTGGTATAAATTAATACCTACTACACACGTGGATTGGTGCTCTTTGGTGTACAATAATAAGAATAATAATAACAACAACAAAAACTACCAACTCTCATTGCTTTGAGATGAATGATTGTGCTAAGATAAGAGCTAAGGCTGAGAATAGAGCATGACATTAAAAAGAGACAACAGATTATCATGATAAATTCATCTTAACAGTAAAAAGGGCAAAGGAGAGGAAGGTTAACACATAAGAATTGGACGTCATTGGAACAGCATTGTAACAGCCTCACCTGTTAAAATAGCTCCTTCTCATGTAGCTTTTTTGTTTTTTGCTCATCTAGTTCTTTAGCTCTTTCTCTCTCCTCCAAATTTCTCTCTCCCCTTTATAGAGGATACTTTCTTATGACATTATTCTCTGCTCTCTCAAAACTTACTCTCCTTTTTCCAGTCCATCTCTAACAGCCGGAAGTCTGCCAAGAAGTCTGGCTGTTTACATCTCCATCAATACTTCTGTGATGGCTGTTAGTTGTCAGTCGTAGGAGTGGAGAGGACAGTTGGGCACAGACCTGCCTTGCAAAGCGATGTTAAGACAATTCCTCATGGAATTTTCCCTTTCTAAGTATTCAAATTGCCCCAGACAGATCTCTTCCCCTGTAATTTGTTATCTTTTCTTTCTTCTCTAGACATCACTGGCCACGCCACCAGGTGAGGTTTCTCATTTTGGCAAAATGACCAAAATCACAATTTCTGCTTCCTTTCATTTCATCACTGAGCAAAGCAGCTTGGGTTAGCATCTGATGGGGTTTTTTCCTGAGCTGGCTAGTCATGCATTCTTGTGGAAAGAGTACATGACCAGGGACAGAGAAGGAGAGCAGGAGAGTTCCTTTCAGCCGCAAAAGTGCATAGCTGAAATGAAACCTTGTCCTCAATAATTATTAGTTCAATAATTCAATTAGTTTAATTTTCATAAGTTTAATTTGACTTCCTACCAAATAATTCCTTGCAGCAACTACTCTGTCTTCTCTTATCACAGCCAATTTAGAAATTCATCATATTTCAGCATGAAACCTACACCAGTCTTTACATTAAGAAATACACTTGCCACAGTCATCAAGAGAAGGATACAAACCAATTGAAATGAGACAAAACAGAGTATGAACACCAAGAAGTGAGAACAGATTTGGAGGATCTTTCTTCTAAGCATCTTTCTCCTAAGTAACAGAAGATAATGCTGGATCATCAAACCATACTCAAGTTACTTGAGAGTACACACACAAGACATTAAATTACAAAAGCCAGAATTATTTAACTCTGGAATCCAGCTTTAAGAATCTACACATATCTTTAGATACACAAGTACTACCATTTGATTCTCAAATATGCTTTTCAAATATTCTTAATATTAGTAGAATTTAAGTTGAGCCACTTACTTAGACATTTCAAAATGGTTGAAAGCACACAATTTTATTCTCCCAAATTCAAGAATTCTGGCCATAGGCCTCTCTATACCAGCTTAGGTGCAAGGTCAGTCAGCAATAGATCTTCATCATTTTTCTCATCATAGAAGACAGGTGCAGCTACCACAAAGAGACGTCACCCCAAATTTGTGATTCTTGAGCCTCCTCTTCCTCCCCAGAGTAAATTCCAACTTGCATAAAATGCACATTGAACATGAACAACATATATTAACTTTTATTACAACTGTATTTTTTTCTGACAATAAATAACTGGCAAACTTCTGACTGTGGGGTTTACCTGTTGATAGAAGGCAACAGAGAAACCTTTTCATGTCAGTGTTTTTGTTTCCTGAAGGGTTTGTATTAAAATGGTAATGTGTTGCATCTCTGCAGCACACATCAAATTTACATTCCATTATTTAATTTCAGCTGCTAGGAAGAATTTTCCAGACCTTTGTTTTTACTTAGACTCATTAAATCATTGTAATTGCATTTTATATCAGTCAAATACAAGTGTTAATCAATATTTGAAAATTTAGAATGGGCATTAAATGCTGCTGGTCCAAGCTTATTTGATATTTTAAAAAATAAAGATATAAAGTTGGTTTTTTTGCTCCTTCATATTCTCTGTAGCACTACAGCATCTTTTAAATCAAGGATTGAGGAAAGAACAGGCTATTAACCAGAGTCTACATGACTGATTCGAGCAAAGCTTCAGTCACATTGCAATATATAGCTAAGTATGTTGGGCCATTCATATTTTGATGGTTTCAAAAGATATAACCATAAAATCATTATGGAAAATATAATTTACAAAGCTTATGCAGGCCAAAGAATATCACATTAAAGTACCAAAATTCCACAGTACAATGAATATTCCAGTAACACGAATTTAAGAGAGAAGAAAGTTTTTTTGATTTTTTATTTTTCAGATAGCCCTCAAGACAGCCAGTTATCTGAAGTAATAAAATCAAATTAAAAGAAAAAAAATCCTCAAAATGTTCCAATGGAAAAATAGAATATAAAAGTTAAAGCAAGCCAACTCCTAATGCTAATTATTCTACGACTACTGCAAATCCTTTGCTCCTATTCATACATAACAATTATTTTGGTACTACCCTTATAAGAGTATCATTTTATATAATTTGTTGGCAAGATTTTGAAAAGTCTACTATCTTTTTAACAATATTTAAAATTTATGTGGTGTTCAGATTTAAAGGACTATGAGTTGAGAATTAAGGTACATTTGAGAACCTCTTCCTTCAATTCTTTACTTTGAATTCTTAATGGCAGTTTATATTCCATAAATCAGAAACTTCTAATACAGATTACTGGAATATCAGGTAAATAAACGTGGGTTTATTTCTTATATTTCCACAGCAAAAGTTTGCTACACTTTTCTGGCAAGTGGACAAATTTTACAAAGCCAGAGATCTCGTTATCCTAGGTGAATGTCAGTATTCCTCTTCCACCAAACACTGGGATTGCTCCAAGCCAGGAGCATGAACAGCTGAATAAGACATGACATTATTTTCGTCCTCGGCTGTGAACATGAACGTGCAAGAAGTCTGACATAAAAGTTGTCAGCTGCTAGTACTTCTACAGGGGCCAAGACCAGCAGCTGAGGATTAGCAAAATGAAGGGCAGCTCTAGCTCCACCATTCTTAGGAAGCTGCAGTTGCTGGAAGTACAGCACCTCAGAAGAATGTGGACTCTGCTTATTAAAAAATTCAGTTCACACATTGTCTGTTGGCTGGATATCCTGCACAGGGCTTTGCTTACCAGAAACACAATTACACACCTATAACAGCCTTTAATATTGGAGAAAGAAACAAGTGTGAACATACATTCATTTTAAAGAGACAAATGGAAAATTAGATATGGTCCAGAAAGTACAGTGCTAGGAACATTTCATACACACATGCAAACAAAAAAGGCCAGCCAGGCTGCAATTAGGAGAAATCCTTCCTGTCCTTTTTACTTCTTCCTCTAGAAATATCATGTATCCTTTGCTTATTTTCCATGTAGACAAAATTCATCTGCACTATGAATAGAATGACCTTTCAGAGGGAAGGAGAAGGTGGCTTTGTCATGTGAGCAAAGTGCATGAATGTCACAAAGAAAATGCAGAAAAATGAGACAGACTTTAGAATGGCATTGCATTTAAATATTTCCCTACACAGGATCTATATCAAGCAGGATTTGCATCACAGCCAGACCTCCTGCCCTCAGAAACTGAATGTCACAGATTTGTACCATACCCACATCCCGTGCCTACAAAAGACACCTGTTATAGCTTTTCAAGGAGAGTTAATCAATGACAGTTTATAGTAACTCCTTTTTAGGCAGTGACCTGACTTTCCTGCCGGCCATTACTGCTTGCTTTAGTCTAGTGGGAACTTCCAGAAGGGAGCAAAGCCCTGTCCCAGCTGCCAGTTCATATCAGTTGGATGTTTTGTGGCATTACAGCTCGCCTCCCAGCTGTGTTGTGTCATGGTTCCCAATGTCACAGCTAGTACAGACACTGGAGGCCATTGCTCTGCTCTCCACATAAAGAGCACTCAAAGCACAGAGGCAGAAGCAGAGCTTACTGCATGGTGGGCATTCTGGGATGCCTGTTTTCCATCTCCCCTTGGCCTGGAAGGAGTTCAATCCAGAGTTGTTGATCCCCTGCCAGAAAGAGGATTAAGCAGCAACGGGACTGAAGGAAGCATCAGGGAGAGAAGTGTGTATCATGGGAACAGGAATGAGAAGGCAAGGTACATCTGTCGGCAGCTCGGAGACAGAAGGAGCTGCTGATGGCACTGCAGTGGCTCAGTGCCCAGGCCCACGCCAAGGGCAGTGAGGCTCGAAAGTGCCAAGTACTGATGTGAAAGTTTAGCACCCAAGCAAAAGGGCAAGTGGGACATTTCAGCATTCCCACTCAGCTTTGGGTGACCCCTCCCAGCACAAGTCAGCATTGTTCTGAACAACATTTTTTCGGAAAGTGTTGCAAGGGGGCTCTCCCAAGGAGTTGTGTGCCATTTTAGGAGTCTTGCACAAGCTACCTCCCCTGCTTTGGTGCTATATGCTGGTGTATATATATATATATATATATATATATATATATATATATATATACATCTATGTACACTTTTTTCATGTTCACTTCAAAAGGAATAGCAATACTGTTCAAAATGAACAGTACTACAAATTCAAGGTGTTTAAGAACTAATGTAGTCCCAACATACAAACCTCTTATGAGTGCTGTCATTATATTAAAC